TCCGATCGAGGCCCGTCGTTTAGCGGACGTCACCTGTCCTTAGGTCTTGTCCCTTTCATCCTATCGCTTTCACCAAGTCTTCGTTGAACGTCGTTTTCCGCACGTCTTGTCCCTTTCATCCTATCGCTTTCCTCAAGTCTCCGTTGAACGTCGCTTTCCGCATGTCATTGTCGTGGGGCTCGGGCTCGACTTGGTCGGCTGAGCCGAGCAGGGAGGACGAGCGGAGCGCAGAGCCGGGCAGGAAGGACGAGCGGAGCGCAGAGCCGAGAAGGAACGTCTAAGCCCGAAACTTAGGAAATTTATGCTGGTGTCAGCCCCAGTGCTGGCGTGGGGTTATTCCCCATCAGAAGCCCCCCACTCTCCGGGTTCCGTGGCGTCTAGCAGCGGAGCGCGTGAGAGTAGAAAACATTGTGGACGGTCAGCTCGTGGGCCCACGCGTAGCTTGGCGGATTGGCGGCGACGTTTGGAGTCCCCCACGAACGGTTGTGGCGCTTCGCTTCTCCCAAGTGGCGGCCCATCGTGACACATGTTCGGCCCATCACTATTCGGGCCCGATTTTAGTTTAAATAATCCCCAAGGCTTTCTTCATTCTCACAAATTCTAGAGAAAGAAAATATTAGGGTTGTCGTTCTCTTGCAGTTCCGTGCCGCCGTTCGCTGCTCTCTGACCGTCTCTTCGGCGACACACTCGTGGTCAGTCCCTCTGTTCTGTTCATTCCATGTCTGTCGAGTCTTCCACTCTTCGTTCGTCCGATGGCGAGCACGGGCTCGTGCTCGGCAGTCAGGGTTCTGTACCCCAGGGCGGCCAAGCGGAGCAGCCAGGTTCCCCATCCATCGAGGAAATCGTGGCCGTAGAGGTGCCCGGGGAAACTGAGCCCCGCCTTCAGAAGCGCACATTGCTCGTGGACTCGCTCATCCGCGAGTGCAAGTGCGACTTGTCGAGTGACGAGTTCCTCAAGGCGGTGCGCTACGCCGGCCCCCTCGTGACCGTTCGTCGCCCAACTCCAGAGGAGTCGGTCTTCGACGCTCCTCCGGGCTACTTCGCCATCCATCTCAAGTCCCTTGAGAGCGGCTTCCGCTTCCCCTTGGAGTCTTTGGTCACCGACTTTTTCAAGTACTTTGACTTTCTCCCGTGTCAATTGGTGCCGAACTCGCATCGGTACTTGGCGGGGTTCTTGATCCGCTGTCGGGAGATGGGCGTGCGGGCCGACCTTGAGCGCCTACTGACCTTGTTCCGAGTGGCGAAGTCTTCCGGGTCGGATGGGGGTTCTTTTGCCGCCCTCTGCCAGCGGCAAGAGAGACTTTTTAGAACGAAGAAGGAATCCAACAGGACTTGGAAGTCCAAGTTTGTTTTCGTCTCCATGGGGGCGGCCTCCCCCTTCCGAGACACTCCCCTCAGCTCTTTTCGTAGACGGTCCAAACCCTTTGCCTCTTCCAAGGCTATTGCTCACACGGACAAGTTGTGTTCGGGCGGCCCTTACGTGCTCGGGGTCTTAGTGAACGACGAAGCTCTCGCCAAGCTCGGGTTCGTCTTCCATGATGAAGACGAGCCCAAGCGCCGGGTCGTCCAGAGTCAGCTTGAGGAGGGGCCATCAGGTTTTCTTTGTTCAATTCTTTGGCGGATTTACACTCCGTTCGCAATTTGTTCAGGGGATTCGAACTTATCTCTTACTTTTCTTGCAGGTGAAATCATGCTCTCCGCGGCCGATCGGAAGAAGCTGTTTAAGTCTAAGGCGCGCGCGGAGTCCAGCCAAGAACGGCCTCCGCTCCCAACTCCCGCACCGTCTGCCGAGCATGCCCAGGCGAGGAAGAAGCGCAAGGAGGTGAGCTCCTCGGCGGAAGGGGCTTCGCTGAGCGGGGCGAGGTCTCCACCCTCGCGCTCGGTGGACTGCGGGAACCCGGCCTTCGTGAAGGTGGCGTTCCCCCTCAAACCTTCGTTCTTGCATGGGGACTATGAGCCTCGCCGTTTTCT